TTCTTGTTCAACAATGACTTTTATTTTATCTTTTTGCTTTGTTTGAAGGGGCTAGTCGGACTCATCATCCGGTATAAATAAGAACATTTGTATTCATTCTGTTATCAATTTATAACTCAATAGAAAATGAACCTTTTTTTTAAAGAAAAGATGAGAAATTATCTTTCTATAAAGGCAGAGCTATTCCCCACATATGTCATATGGTAATATTTCACAGTATCTATACGAATCAGTAAGTAATTGTAAACTGTAGGCTTAGAAGGTATGAAATAGCTGGTGACGTATAAGTTGCACAAAAATCCGGTCTATACCGGAAAAACAATACTCAACAATTCGATCCATGGTAGCTCAACATTCAATCGAATCTGTCGGTCAAATTGCGTTTAGATTATCACAGAAAGATATAAAAACTAGTAAAACCACATTAGGAAGAAGATTTAAAGAAACTGGTGTACACTCAACGAGACCGACCTCGAAACCATTGCTAACAAGTGAAGATATTTTAAAAAAGACCCCAACAGAATATAAAACTCAAAGACTGTAACCCAAGTGAAAATGTCTGGGCTTTAGTGAAGCTCAGAATAAAAAAAGAACCGTATATATCGATCAATAATTTCATTGAAAGAATAAAAAAAAGAATGGAGAAACTTAGCTATTGAACTTGCTGAAAAATTAGGCAATTCTATGGAAAATAGAGTAGCATTGTTAATTGAAAGAAAAAGCCATTATATTAGTTATGAGGATGATGCACGTACAATGTACATTTCATAATTAAAATATAACCAAATAACACTTTTGTCTTCCTCGTTTTCTCAATCGCGGCCACTTATGGCGATTACTGTATTCTTATTTTTTAAAAACTAATTTTAGATGTAAGTTCTGGTAAAACTGTGCCTTCATCATCAACATCGATGAAACGACAGCATTCGTCGTCGTATAGTATGAATAAAGGAAAGGTGAATAAATCGTTAGTTATTAGTGAAAACGACGATCCTTGTGAGTATAGGATTTTCGATCTTTAAAATTAATCAATTATTTTTCCATTTAGGTAAAAAAAAAATTAAACGAGCTAAAAATTTGAGTGAAGAAGAAACATCTATTTTCATCAGTGTGTGGAGTGAATATTACGATAGTTTGATATCAAGTGGTTCAAGAAATATGCCAATATATAATTCTATGGCACAACACCTCAACCAATTATTGTCACCTCGAGTAATGAGTGGAGGTGAAGTAAAAGCAAAAATATTTAATCTCGTGGCAGAGTACCGTAAGAAAAAAAAGGAGCAAGGCAAAACAGGTGCTAGCCCGCCGTCATGGCGGTATTATGATAGAATAGACAAGCTACTTGGTAAGCAACAATATTAAAATATCATTTTATATTGTGTTTTATTTATAATGATGAATAGGTGAACGACCGTACAACGACGACAATCTAATGTCAGATACGATGCTTATACAAGAAGATGAATTTATTGAAGAAATTGAAAATGCTCCAATAAATAATGTCAATGTTCACGAATTATTGGACGAAGGTGATCCTACATCTAGTTTTATCAAAGCTATTGAAGAAAGAACAAAGGATAATCGTTCTGGTGACTCAAATAGTCCATCTAATTCTTCATGTACTCAAAAGAGTGCAAGTCAACATGCAACTGATTCATCAATAAAAAAAGTTTCATCATCAAAAAAAAAAAGATATCTGATTTACGGTTAGCATCTGTAAAAACTATTGAATATATTTATTATTCATTATTATGAATTTAAGGGTTGATCTTATGCAACAGATATTAACGAAGATCGATGGAGCCAACGAACTGGCGAATCAAGCTGAATCAAAAGCATTACTTTTACTCGAAAAACAGATGAAGTTACAAGAAGAAAGTTTACGCAACGAACAAGAATTCTTGAATATGTTCCGAAATATTGCAAATAGTTTCAATCAAACTCGTTGAAGTAATAATACGATTATGAATTATTCAATATTATTTCATTTAATTCGAACAGTTGTATTGCGTATAGATATAAAATTTGTTTCATAAATAAGTTTCATAATAAGTTTTAAATGTTTTATGCAAAAGTAAGCTTTGCTTTGCTATAGCTATAGTATTATTTTTTTATTTTGTTTTATTAGTCTGAATAAAATATATGTTATTTTTGTGAGTGTTAAATTTCAGTTCTTATCTGCATATCAATATATGCAAATATCAGTAAATAGGTAACAAATAGACTGTGTTATTTCGTTTCGTTGTTACAATTGAGATAATAATGTCATATCTGTTTAATTTTGTTTGTCAAACATGTATTTGAAATGTTGTTGTTAATTTCTATGTACAAAAATTAAAATTTTATTCTTGCATATTTTGTGCAATCTGATGCTTATCATATAATGAATAGATATTTAAATAAGTGTTCTACGTTTATTGTTCTTAAAATAAAAATGTATTATAGATAATAGTCAATGTGCTATTGTGATACTTATCTGATTTTGTCATTATTGATTTAAAAATTACAATTCTATTCGAGGGTAATTTAACTAAATTAAAACAATTTTTAAGACAAAAATTTTTTTGGTACATAGTATTTGTTGTTTCATTGTGATACTCATTTCATTTTGTGAGTGTGGTTTTCAACATTATAATTTCGGCTAAAGGTAATGTATTTCATTAAGAAACAAATAATAAAAAAAAATGCATATGATTTTTTTCTTCAGATTATGGATGAAAGAATTTTTATAGGTACTATTTATTCATATTTAAAGAGAAAACATTCGTTTAACCGTCAAATTAAAAAAATTCATATAGAATATGAACATCAAAAGCGTAAACAACGACGTGCTTCATTATGTCGTAATATGTTTATTTATTATTTACATTTTCTGATTGATCAATCTATTAATATTTATCCACGCACCATATGGTCATACTCGAAAAGTGGCTATTGGTGGTCGAACATTATACCAATGATGAATGACAAACAATTTAAGAATAATTTTCGTATTCAACGCTCAACATTTAAAGAAATACTCCATCAAGTTGGTCCATACTTGAAAAAAAAAGACACAGTTTTACGTCCAGCTATTCCAGTTGATAAACGTCTAGCTTGTGCTCTTTATTTACTTGGCTCAACATGTGAACTCAGAACTGTAGCTCATCTGTTCGGAATCGGAAAATCTACAGCTGCTCAGCTTTTACATGATTTTTGTGAAGTTCTTGTTAATTTATTTTTTCATCGTTTAATTAAATTTCCAGTTAATG